GTCGATTTCTTTATGCCCTTGGCATTAATGTAAGCACCGTGTTTAATGAGGAAATCTGCGACTTTCATATGATCTGCAAAAATAGAAGAATCAAAACGATTGTCTTCTGTTTCTGAAAGCAATGTTATGGATCAAAAACCATTTTGTGCAGCCAAATGAAGTGGTGTGAATCCATTCTTGTTATCTGTACCGTTAACGTTGGCTCCGTTTTCAATTAGAAATTTAACGGTATTCAAATCAGCTGAATTTTGAATTGAAACAAAATCAAAAGTTTGTTTTTGTTTTAAAAGTAAGATTCTAGGCAATTATACCTTCATCCGATAGCATAGCGATATGAAGTAACATACTTCCTTCATTGTCTTTAATATTTACGTCGGCAGCGTGTTCAATGAGGAATAGAGTGAAGCCCGCATTACCTGATCGTTGTAAAGGAAAAACATAGAACAAAAATCAAAAGATTAACGAACGCAAACATAAAGTAATTTTAAGTACGATTTAATTACCGGTGGATATAGCGATACGGAGCGCCGTGTGTCCCAAATCATTTTTGGCATTGATGCCAGCGCCGCGTTTAATGAGAATTTCTGCGACTTTTATTTGACCTGGATCATGTTAACGAACCAAAATCAATCAAGTTTGAGTTTGACAATAAGAGTTCAAATTAGATTACCATATTTTGCAGCGACATGAAGTGGCATATTTCCACTGTTTGCTGTAGCATTCACGTCAGCACCATGATTGATGAGAATTTCTGCGACTCTCGCATTATCTGAAAAATCAAAACGATTTTATCTGTGTTCGAAAGCAAAGGTATTGAGATCATTCCCCAGTAAAAAATTTAACTATTAGTTACCATTTTGAGCAACAATATGAAGTGGATTGTATTCATCATTGTTTTTAGCACTGATGTCAGCACTATGATTGAGAAGGATTTCTGCAACGTTCACGGAATCTGAAATGTGGAAGAAAAAAAAATCAAAAGATTATCTTTGTTTGGAAGCGCAAAGATATTAGGACGATTAACTATTCTGTGCAGCCATATGAATTGGCATCCAATTGTCGCGTCCTGTTGCATTAATATCGGCACCGTGTTCAATGAGCATTTCTGCGACTTTCCCATTATCTGAAAATTCAAAACGATTATCATTGTTCGAAATCAAAGTTATGGGTCAAAAACCATTTTGAGCGGCTAGATGAAGTGCTGTGAATCCATCAGTGCTAAACCCACTGATGTTAGCTCCATGGTTAAGAAGGATTTCTCCGATTTTCACATGATCTGAAATGTAGAAAAATCAAAAGAATGTCCTTATTTGAAAGCAAAAGAATGGGCCAAAACCATATTGTGCAGCTAAATGCAGTGGCATATTTCCTTTTGCTGTTTTAGCACTAATGTCAGCACCATTTTTGATGAGGACTTCTGATACTTTCACCGAACCTAAAATGAGAACATAACAATTGTTCTGGCAAAGATTATCTTTGCTCGATAGTAAAGGTTTGAATCAAAAGTTATATGGTCAAAACATGACCAAAACCTTTTCGTGAAGCTACTTGAAGTGGTGTCCAATTATCAAATCCAATTGCATTGACATCGGCGCCGTGTTCGATGAGCATTTCTGCAACTTTAACATGATCTGAAATGTAGAAGAATAAAAGCGATAGTCTATATTTGTTTGAAACAAATCTCCCATTCGTTTTGAATTTGACAACTGTTATTGAGCGCAATCGCTAGCTGGATAATCTAAGGCTAATGTCAATACAATCAAGTAAACTCTCTATTCTGTCAAACGTCATAGTGAAGTGTAACATACAGATATTCATTAGATTATTACTCCAAAACCGAACAAATAAATAAAGTAATATAAAATGCAAATAAGATTTGGTTTGAAAGCAAAGGCTTTACCAAATTGGCTCACAAGATGAATTGGCATATTTCCCTTTTGATTTTTAGCACTGATGTCAGCACCATGTTTGATGAGGACTTCTGTGACATTCACGGAACCTGAAAACGTGAGAAAAGTCTACAGATTATTTTGGGAAAAAAATTTAGCAAAGATTTCCATGAAAATAATACGAAGAAATGCAGAATATACGTCACCATACGTCACAGCCAAATGGAGGGATGTATATCCACCGCTGCTTTTCGCATCAACGTCAGCACCATGTTCGATGAGGTATTCGGTGATTTTCGCATAATCTAAAATGCAGGAGAATGAAAAAAATTGTTTATATTTGAAAGCAAGGGTATGGGTTCAATTACCCTTGTATGCAGTAATATGAAGAGCGGTATATCCATCATGTGTTTTAGCACTGAGGTCTGCACCGTGTTTGATGAGGATTTTTGTGACATTCGCACGACCTAAAATGTAGATGTATCAAAGAAAAGCAAAGGTACACATAAGTTATTTGATAAGAATCAAAAGATATGCCCTTGAGATTAGGTTGAAATAGCGCCATTCACAAGTATGTCCGCAAGCTTCCCCAGCGAGCCAGCTCCTCAATATGTGAGCGCTCAGCTCATAGAGAGCTGGCTCATTTAAGTGGCGTTGCAATACAAAGAAATGTCAGAATGTTGACAGCTAATATTTAAAAAAAAACTGAAAATATTCTGACATTTTTCCTATGTTAACGCCACGTAAATGAGCCAGCTCTCTCTGAGCTGAGCGCTCACATATTGAGGAGCTGGCTCGCTGGGGGAGCTCGCGGACATGCTTAGCCATTCACTAAAGTTTGATGTGGAAATAACAACCGTTCCTTGGAATATTGTATGTATTTAGCATTGACAACATACCATGGTTTTGAACTTTAATTGATCCCATGATTTACAAGTGTATTGTACCAATTTTGAACTTAAATGAACGACGCTTTAAAGTCACTTGTATTGTTTCTAATTAACCATGCGCGTCTCTCGATAAGAATATTTACCAAAACTTGCAGCCACATGGATTGGAGTATCTCCAGTGTCAAATCGTAAGCTCATATTCATTCCTCCCCGGATCAAATATTCGATTGTTGATATAGAATCTAAATATAAAAATTGTCTTAGCAAAATCGAAGTTTCTTTTACTAAAAACATAACCGAAAAGAAGTCCGACTTACCATTTTCGATTGCATCAAATAGCTCGACCATTTTGGACCTTGACATTGGTAATTTAGAAACAAGTTTTAGAGAAATGTTCAATTTTTCATGGAAATTTCACCGTTTTTTTTTTAAATCGGATCCGTTCTGTTTCTCTGGATCAATTTTAGGAGTCGTAAAAAAGGTACCATTTTTAACAACAGCACCTTTGTTTGCGATATTAAAAATTGAAATAGGGACGCAGAGCGGTCAAAATCGAAATGAAAAATATTTTGTACGGTTCTAATTAATTTTTGGTTAAGTTCTCCATTTACCTATCATTTTGCGCACTTTCTGTAGACAATAATCAACACAAATAACAATATTAAAAAACTCAATAATTATTTAAAGAAAAATAGACTCCAATGACTTCATGAAATGTAAATATACATTGATGGATATATGTATTCATTATTTTTGACATTTTTGCTGCCGAAATGATTCTCTGAGCGAAAAAAAAGAAGAATTAAAGCGCAATATACCTGCCAGCAATCGGTTGAAAACGGCAACAAGTGGCACTATCAATGCGAACAATTTCATCATTTTTTATCCGTCGAAACACAATTGGTTTTGGAATTCTGTATAAAAAAATTTAAAATGAAAAATGTGGTTAAGGTTTTTTTTTCTATTTTAAGGTTATTCAAGTTAACTGCGATTACTTCAGGATGATATCGTGCTAAAAGGAACCATTTTTATCCGCAAAGCGCATATACTCGCCAGATATGAGTCCAATGAATAATTTTGCGATAATTTTATTTATAGAAGCATAATCGCAATTCCACTGTTTGCAATTGAATCGACTATTGTGTTGCATATTTCTTGTTGGAGTACTGAGTTAATTATATGATGAAAAGCTTATGCTTTTTATATGAGTGGCTTATAAATTAAAAAAACGTATGAATAAGAGAATCATGATTTTCTTTTCTTTTTTTCAGGCGGCGCACCAGTATGATTGAAATATAACCAAAATCTTCCACACTAAGCTGAAGTTTGAAGAGAACTTTAACTCTTATGAAAATCTTTGAGTTGTCAGCCAAAAGAAGAGATCCACATTTGAAATTTTCATGCTGACCTCAGGATTCATGAAAATGAACCTTTGATATTGGTTCAAACGTTAAAGAGCTAACCCACCAATTAATTATAAAGAGCTAACCAAGAGAACATTCGTCAATTTATAAGATCTGTAGCTGTGTGCAATTCTCTCTTCTTCTTTTTTTTTAAATTATTCACCACATACCGTAGTTTGAGTGGTTTAAAGACTACAGTTGGTGTATGTTGATTTAAAGCAAAACATGAATTAATCCATGAAGCAAAAGGAATACAATTCGCATATTTCCCAGAATAGCGGTAACGCTAGTAATTTTATGAAACTTACAAATCATTCGTTGCAATTCCTTCTCAATTCGAAATATTTGATTTAGTAGATTTTTATGTATTTTCCAATATTTATTCACCTAGAAACAGATCAACTCAAAGCAAAAACAGTGTTAGAAATAAAAAGCAACACTCAATTTATTTGACAGTTCACCATAGAGGAAATTAAAATGTTCCACTGACTGAAATCACTTTCAACTGTAACTTTCTTACTGAAACCATCAAACCATTAAATAATTTTTTTTAAAATAATATATTCAAAATGCCATTCTTATCGAGTTAAGTTTGTTATCGATGCGGGTTTTTCCACCAGTGACGACGTAGTTTTTATAATGTGTGGAACTGTGAAGACCAGCGATGTTTTGCGTTCTTCCAAAAATCTGGAGTTGACTTGATTGTGTGTAACAATCGATGAATTACACATAATGTAAGGGTGGTTGTAATACATTTGATGTTGCTACGTTTACATGTTGTGTTACGCAAATTAGAATTTTCGAATTTCTCGTTTCTCGTTTCTAGAATCAACTAAGTTTCATGGCGATTTTTTTATGTGAGAAGATTCAATAGAATAAAATTGATTTCAATTTGCTCTTTCACATTTATAATCTCCTTACGATTTAGACACATTCATTGAGTTTTCGATAGGAAAAAAACCAGAAGAAAGACATTGTAGGTCAGTTTGTCTTGAAGAGTGATAAGAACAAAGTTTTTAATTCTTTTATATGTTGCTTACATCTTAATATTCAATCCTGAAAATGATGTGATTCAATTGAGCTTCAAGAATGCTTTATAGTCGAATAGCCAAGAGAAAAACAATAAGCATAAGAGACAATATTGAATAAGCTAGGATTGAAATAATTTTAATTCAAAAAATAAATTTAAATTCATTCACAGTTTGAAAAAAAAATTTAATATTCTACGAATATTTAAGTAAATAATGATTAATTCGAGAACATTGAATGCATTTTTTCTGTAATAATGTTTTTAGATAGGATGATAGTGTATAAAAATATTTTTTATTTTATTTTTTAATCCAAATTAGACCTTTGAAGTCGAATGTTTCTTTTCCGTGTGGTGTTCAATTGCCTGAACTTTTGCTGTTTTTTATGTTTTGTCGACACCTTCTGCGCGTTCTCCATAACCATAATATCAACAAGTCCGCTGTTTGACGTTGCTGTGCAATTACAGTGTTGCAATTGCTGATAGTGCAATCGGCTGTTGCATGGGCTATTTGTATTCACAAAAGGAAGGACATAGTTCGTAATACATCCTTAGAAAAGAGATTAATGAAACATAGTTTCACTTTATATCGCTTGCAAAAGTGCATCATACTGAAATGTTTTAATAAAGAGAGCTGAAAGACAAAGAAACCTAAGTTCTTAAACGCGAATAAATGAATTGATCAAACTAATGTGGAATCACTAGATTGCATTTTAATTAAATCATTTTTTTTTTATTTCATTGACATTATTGAGACATTTGCTATTTATCATATTCCTGAACGTTTTCAGACTAAAGAAAATCAATTTTTTCGATAGCAATAAGGTACTTTTGTTCATCAAGAGTTGAATTTT